AAACCCCCAGCCTTTTCACCGTGTTCCAGCGGTGTAGTCTACGTGATACTCAGGCATACGGAGTATACCCACTAGAAAAGCTTAAGAATTTTAGTATGCCCACTTAAAAGTGCCCACTGATACATGACATATCATTAGACATGTGTCAATGATATGTTAAACAGCAGCTAAATGCTTCTGTAACAATCTATCTGCATGCAGCGCTTGTTTATTACATTAACTGATCCAGCAAATTATTGAATAATTAATACTTCTGTACGTACTACTTAATGTTTGAACATGTTTTGCTTTGACACTGTTTTGTAAATTCTACAACATTTTTAATATAAAGCCAACTGTTGTTCAAAGTTTGTTGTTCATTTATTCAAATATAAGCATCAGAGAAATTTGGAAATGTTCAATATGCTTAAAAATCAAAATAAATTGACAGTTACATTGTACTAACCGGTGTACTTTGGTTTCTAAGCACAGTATACGGATCGACCGCAGTAAGTTAGTTTTACGTTGGACGTTAGGCATTCACTCACCGTGGCTTCAATGGTGTCCAACGTAAAGATAACTTTACCGTGGTATGCCACTACAAAAATGTAGACTACACCACTGCCATGTTCATAGTAACCATGTATTTACTGTAGATATTCAGTATTGTGCCTGTAGAGTAGACAAAGTATTAAATTCAGTTTGAAGAAACAAATGTTTTTTTCACTAAATCTTGTGAAGGGGAGTGGCTGTATTCTCTGTCCAAATGTAAAACCTCATCAGTCTTAACCGTACCTAGCTTTTCTTCTTTTTATGTGCACAATAGGAAGTTATTTGAACCCTCAGGTACGCCTTTAATGCCTCCCAGACAGTACAGAGTGGCATCCTAGAAGTTTGATTAACATTAAGAAATATTTCAATTTCAGATGTAAGTGTCATGAACCAGAGGCCGGATCGCAAACAACAACAACAACCACTGAGAGGGTTAAAAGGTTTATTGTGAAATAAAGTAAAACCCTGGAGTAGGTCCGGTTCTGGGCCGGTTCCGATCTTCTGATTGGTAGTTCGTGATTGGGTAGTGTTGAAGTGGCGGGCTGCCAGTAGAAGTAGAACTGATGTTAAGGTCCACTGGAACGGAGTCCAACAGGCTTGCAACTAAAAGATAAAGGTTAGTAGATGCAGGGGGAAAGAGACTAATTGGGGAAATGAATCTGTGGGAATCAGATTCAGGGATAAGGATAAGTCCGTGATACAGAATGAGCTTGACCTTTAATCCGTGATCCAAAAAACAGTCAGAAGGGAAAAGCAGAGTTCATACCGTGAAGTCAGTTGTTCAGCAGAAGTATCCAGTACGTGATCCAAAAGAGAGTCAAAAAACAAGAGCATGAGTCGGTACCTGATCAGATGAGCAAAAGCAGACGAGGGCTGAGGCAAAAGCGTGGTCGTGGTCAAGGCAAGGGTCATGAACGTGATGAGTCAATCAATGGAATGCTGGAAAGTCTACTGCTGATGAGACAGGATAGAGAATCTGGCCCAGACTGAGAGGAATGAGTGAACTTAAGTACTGACTGGACCAGGTGGTGGAGCTGTGGGATAATGAGCGGTGACAGGTGACATGAGTTGAGTGATTACTGAGTGTGCAGCATGACAGAGGAGCTGACAGAGAGCAGAGATATGACAGTAAGGAACTTGAGATAGTCCTCCTCAGACAAGAGCAAGGGGTTAAGTCTCCAAGGAAGCTTGGAGGATTGTGTGACCGAAATAAGCAGTTTCATAATAAGTGGACCATGGTCAGAAATAATCATGGCCTCATAGTCACATTCTCTCACTAAGGGCAGAATTTGTTTATCAAGGAAGAAATAGTCAATTTAATACATCTTATGAATGGTGGAAAAGAATATATATGATCTCGAAGCAGGAGAGAGATTAGGAGAGTAAGAGAGAGGAACGTTGTTTTGAGAGACAAGTAAAGGAAGCCATCTTTGTAAAGATAACCCATCCATTGCTAAACGGGGCAGAGGCTTTCATGTCCAATTGTTTCCTTTTTACAATGGTGTTATTGCGAGCATCACTCAGACTTCTGTGAATAGCAAGTGGCCATGAGAGCACTAATGATTGTTCGTTATGCTGATGATCCTCCTTTTGCATGTGAACAACTAGTTTTGGCTGTTACCAGCAAACTGGTTGATCCAATATATCATTGTGCTGCTTATAAGGATGCATTCACCAGCCCTGTTTAGCCCACTTTAAACGAACATTTGTCTATTGCCCCTTTTGCACCGCCCCTAATAAGCCCCAACTCTGCTCAGCCCGCCACAGAAAGAACCCTTTTGCACCAGCACTTTAGCTAGTATATTTAGCTGATTTGAGGCTGATTCAGGACCTCTTTTCGTCCCTGCTTCTCTGGTGGGACCGAGCGAGCTCAGCCGAGCTGAGTCGGGACCAAACGTGAATGCAGGACTCTGATTGGTCAGGGGGAGGAGTCACTGGATCTCAGAAACGTTTCACTGAGCCGCCATTTGCAATTTTTCTGGATGCGGAGCAGCAGCTGGATCTATTTTTAAGATTTTAAAAACAATAATGACAATGCCGTGTTTAATTCTGAAGTCCATATATATTTTGTGTTTGGTGACCGACTATAAAATTCGAGCATGTGGTGTCACCTCAGAGGATCATATGAGCTGCCGAGCCGTTGAAGACCGCGAGGCCGAACCCCGAGCCCCAGCCTCGCCTGCTCACAAAGGCCAGATTCGAGCCCTGGCAGGCGGGAGGACCGAGATGGAGGGACGGGGGGTGGAAACATTTTTTTTTTACACTTTATGTATAAAATATACGTTTGTTTTTTTTTATCAGTGAAGATTAAAAATAAATAAAAAGTGCCGGTGAATGTGCAATTGAACTCTGACGCAGACCAAATAAGCAAACTCTGGTCTGCCTAAATATCTAGGTCTCAGTTCGGTTGAAGTGAACTCTAGCACAGTTCAAAGGCATTGTGGATGCAAGCAGACTGAAGACAGCTCCAAAAGCAGGAAGTGGTCTACAGCACAGGACAAACAAACACTCATTTGTCTTACATGATACGAAGCCGTCAGCCGCCTTGTGTGAAAAACAACATGCTCATGGTCTTCTGCCTCATCTTCAGCTCATGTTGAGTCCATTGTTGAAAAATGACAAAACAGAAATCCTAAAACTGCTAAAATTGGACACCACTCCGTTTTTGTTTTAATATTCAGAAGAAGAAGTGTCTTCTTCAGAGGTTTTTGTGTTGTTTCCTTCAGTAGTTCTTGCTGCAGCGCCACCATAGGCGAGGGGGGGAACAGGTTGGCTCAATTAACTCAGTGCAGTGTGAATGCGAACCGCACCAGCTGAAAATGTAAACAAATGTTCTGAATTTTGGTCCCCAATCGAACCTGTCAGGTATGAAAACACCTCAGTATGTGTGCAGCTCCTCAGCCTAAAGAAGTATTTTGAATAAAAGATGAAATGTTTCAGTAAAGAGGGATCCATCCAGATGACCTGACTCAACCTTGTTAGAAAATCCAAATACCTTGTGAAGATGCTGTTGAAACCAGTAAAAGTGTTATTGCATACAAGGAAACAAGTTTTGCAATGGCATAGACTGAAATTGCCCATTTGTAAAAAGCCACTGTCGTGGATAGATTACCACGTCGTGTTCAAAACGACGGAGGCGTCGCCCTTCGTATAAAAGATTTATTTGACACAACATGGGTTACAGATATTCAGAGACAAACAATTACATTAATAAGATATATGCATATAAATGGAGCATTAAGAACGAACCACCTCGTGTGCGCCTCCCGGAAAATGCTCGGTGGGCGTGCGTCATTTCCGGCCTTTTATCCCCGTTTGAGAAGGCTAGCTTCCTGATTGGTTCAGCTTCTGTCGCTATGGTTACGACTTAGCCCGCCCCCTCAAGGACGTTAACGTCTATATTTCAGATAAGTTTTGGTTCACCGAAATCAGCTTTTGTTTAAAGTTTACCTTGCTATTATACTATATTAAATTGTTTATACGTAATAATTAATAACCATTAATTATTACCTACCTCCTGGGTGTTAATTCAATATCTGTTGAAGGCCTGGTGATTCTGTTTTTTAAGGCAGAATCATCTTAGTTTCCTTGTCTGCGTTTAAACTGTTAACACTGTTTGTTTAACGTGATTATACCTTAGTGATAACACTGATTTGAAATAGTTGTTTATTTCTAGGAATAATTATATTATCTAACTTATGTTCGTGTTTTTATTTGGATCATGGTTATACTCTTAATTTGATTTTACTTAGTCAAACTATATTGTCTAACTTAAAGAGCTGTGTTCTATCTTTATTTATGTTAATCAGTCTGCTCTCTGGCCTGATTTGATTGTTTGTAATCTATCAAATGTGAACTTGTAAAATTATCCTTAGCTCTTATGAGATTATATTCAAAGGTCAACTAGTTAGAATTAGCAAACATTTTCTATAAACATCGTTCAACCCTGGAAGAAAGACACACACACACTTTATATGACATGACATTTGAGTGCTTGATAGGAATTATAAAAAGGTATAAAATATTAAATCCAACACCACATAATTTAACTTTTAGGGTAATGGCTTCTTACTGTGTGCACACATCTGGTTTAAAATGAATTTGTATTCTTTATTAGCCCTATACAAGTAATTAGTTCTTAGTATTTAGTATATTTTACTGTAGAAGGACAATATTTTTTCTCAGAATTCAAAGAAAGGAAAAAATACTGATTGCTTTTTTTTTATATTAAACCCTAATTTTCTGAATCCCTTGAGTTGTTCTACATCTCCTGGTGCCACCCTAAAGAAACAGACATCTTAACACTTTTGCCTTCATTTCATCACAGGGCAGAAATGGAACATAAATCTGTATTATTATGGCTGTGTGTGTGCATGCATGCATGCACTTACACTCGATAGTGAACTGTAAAACTCGGTCTATTAAACTAGAGCAAAGTGAGATCATAAATACATAATCTCTTCCTACAGGGGTAGCCACCACTTGGGGACAGATGAGAAGAGCAGTGAAGAATCCGCTATCCAGGAGAAATGTTATGCTCCTCGCTTCCTTCAAATACCCCCAGACCTCAAAGTTGAAGAGGGACGATTCTGTAGGATTGACTTCAAGGTGACACACACGCAGTGTTTGCATTTCTTCTGAAGTCCTTACATTAGATTCCTTAAGGCGCTTTTGCAGAACAGTTCCCCAAAATGCTGAAAAAGACCAGTCTGTCAAATTTGACTGATCGTTCACAAATTACTATAAATCAAATCGAATGAAGCCGGCCACTTCCCACATAGACGAACTATCAGGAATGAAGCGAGCTCTTTGGAATCAAAACAGATGTGGAACAGAACTAAGCTTCAATGACTTGGAGCACTACGCAATGTGTGACTAGCATGCAACCATCAGGGCACTAACGATCAGTCGTTAGGCTGATGGTCCTCCTTTTGCACATGTACAACTAGTTTTGTCTGTCACCAGCAAACTGGCGCATCCACCATGAGAAGATCCTGCTTATAAGATGAGTTTGTTGCAGCTCCTTAGACTGAAGATTTTGGATAAAAGACAAAACAGTTCAACAAAGAAGAATCTGTTCAAAGGAACTGACTCAACCAAAAAGTCCATGCTCAATAATCCAGATATACAATCCAACAATTTTCAGTCACTGAAAATTGTTGGACCTGACTTGTTAGATTTATCTACCTGGATTATTGAGCATGCATCAAGACATAAATTAAGTCAATTTATCTTTCCTCTTTGTGATTAACCCATTCTTTTATCAGTAATAAAAAAATAAGTTGTTTTAAGTTTGAGTTCAAAGTGTTTTGTGAGTGTCTAGTATTCTGTCACCAGAGTCCTATAAGATAAATGTTGCTGCAGGTTGGTGGTCTTCCAGCTCCAGACATTTCTTGGTATCTGGATGGTAAGGCCATTCGCCCAGACGACTACCACAAGATGTTGGTGTGTGAGAAAGGAATGCACTCATTCATCATCGAGATCATCACAGTGCATCATGCCGGTGTGTATGAGTGTGTGGCTACAAACCGAGCTGGGCAAAGCAGATTCACCATGAGGCTTCATGTAATAGGTAAAAAATCTGTCCGTTACAAGACAAAAATGTTTTGGAATATTTGACTAAAGTGTACAAACTCTTTATTTTGTATGCAGCTCAGGAAGTTCTCCGTCCTCCCACCTTCATCCAGAAGATGTTGAACACCAGAGCCCTTGAGGGTGACACAGTTAGGTTAGAGTGTAAAGTGGACGCCTCCCCTCCTCCACAGCTTTTCTGGAAGAAAGATAAAGACATGCTGCGCATCGACCCCAACAGAATGAGGTGCACCAGCTGAAACAGCTCCTCGCATGATGCTGAATATAGATTCTGTATAACAGATCCAACATAAGTTTTACCTAAAATAATCACAGCCACCTCAATAAATGGAAGTCTGACAAATAAGACCTACAGATATTCTCTGTTCACTTAATAAAATTAAATTCCATTGTCTTATATATTGTAGCTCCAATTATAACAAAAATCATTTTAGAGCTCTAAAAATAAGAAACAAGAAGAATCATTCAGCTTGACCCTAACTTAAATAATTCAAAAATCATATTAAAGTCCAAATGCAACAAATGAATCACTGCAGGACAAACTAGGAAAGTTCCTGGAAAAACTTTGAAAGGGACTTCTACCTGGTGGACATTTAGAATTTTTAATTTACTTTTGTCCTCTCCTGCTTCCATATTAAATTTCAAGTCAATAGGTGTAAAAATGGCTGAGTTAAAGACCTTTTTCTTATTTAGCTCTGGCAGCCATCTTGGATTTTTAATTACCAAATAGTATGTGTTAGGGATCAGTTTCAGCTACCACCATATGAAGTTTAAGCTCAATTTGTCAAAGAAGGGCTGAATTATAGTCAGTTTTTCCTTTTAGCTTTGCTGAGCAAGATTTTTTATTTCTTTTAGTTCATGCTGGGTTTAATTTTCAGCTTTCACCACAGCAGATTTCAGTTTATTATAGCTGAAACTTATTGATAGCAATGTATTTACTTTTTCCTTTCAGCTTTGGTGGCCATCTTGAATTGTTAAATAGCGTTCATAATTTGTTAAGTGGGGGAGGGGGGAAGGTCAGTAGGCAGGGTGCTTGGTTCTGGAGACGGTGTGTATACTGTGTATATATACTGTGTATATACTGTGTAGATATGTATGTTGTGTATGTTTTATATATATATATGTGTGTGTGTATATATATATATAT